TGGGAACCCAGAGAAAACAAATAGCAAAATGGTAGATTTAAACACAGCCACATTTATAATTCCATTAAATGTAAGTGAACTAAACTCTCATTGAACTGCAGAAATTGTCAGACTGTTTTGAAAAAGGTTTCAACCATACTTTGTCTAAAGAAAACACTTAAAATATAAAGAGACAGGTAAAAAAATGGAAAATGATGTACATACAATCACTAATTGTGAGAAAATGTAAGGAGCATTATTGATTTCAAAGAAGACTTGAAGGCAAGGACTATTACCAGAGACAAAGTAGACACCACAGTCTTAAGTGTAGACACCCAATTACAGAGCAATTACATTAACCAAAGACTGACCAAACCTAAATGAGAAATAGACAAATTCACAAGACAAATCTACAGTTACAGTTAGCAATTAACGCTCCTCCCTCTGTTTCATAGAATAAGCAGACAGAAAATCAGTAGAGATAAAAAGACTTGAATGATATTATCAATTAACTTGACATACTGGCAATTATAGAATACCAGCGGGATACACATTCCTTTTTAGCGTATGTGGGATATTCACCAAAGATAGACCATATGCTGGACTACAGATCAAATCTTCAAGACAGGTAATATTCTTTTTTTTTTAAGATTTTATTTATTGATTTGACAGAGACAGAGAGAGCACAAGCAGAAGGAGAGGGAGAAGCAGGCTCTCCACTGAGCAGAGAGCCTGATGCAGGGCTTGATCCCAGGACCCTGGGATCATGACCTGAGCTGAAGGCAGACACTTATCCAACTGAGCCACCCAGGCGCCCCAACACAGGTCATATTCTGAACCAAAAAGAAATCTCAACAAACTTAAAATTATTGAATCATACAGAGTATATCTCCGACCATGAGAGAAACCAGAAATTGGCAAGAGAGAAAGAAAAGAAAGAAAAGAAATGAAAAGAAAAGGAAAGAAAAGAAAAAGTGCTAGACATAGATATTTGGAAAGAAAGTAGGTAACACACCTCCAAATAACCTATGGTTCAAAGAAAAAATCACATGGAAAATTAGAAAATATTTTAACTGAATGAAAATGAAAATAAATGTATCAAAATGTGTGAGACAGCTAAAACCATGCTCAGAGAGAAATGTGTAGCTTTAAGTGTTTTTATTTAAAAAGAAAGGTCTAAAATCAAAGATCTAAGCTTCTATTTTAAGACAAGCAAACTAAACATATAAATAGAAGAAATGGAGATAAGAACAAAAGTCAATAAAATATAAATCATACAAACATTAGAGAAAATTAATGGGAGTATATTCTGGCTCTTTAAAAGAGCCAGTCTTCCAATTAGACTGATGAGACAAAAGACATGTTACCAATGTCTTACATGAAAGGAAAGATATTACTACCCATTATAAAGATATTAAAAGAATAGTAAAATAACATTACAAATTATTATAATAAGTATGACAATTTAGATGTGATAGAAAAGTTCTTTGATACAAATTACCAAAAGTGAAACCAAAAAAAAAATCCTGAGCCATACAATAAAAATTAATAAATTGGATTTCATCAAAATTAGTAACTTTAACTTTTCAAAGGACACTGTTAAGAAAAGGAACAAGCAAGTGACAGACTAGAAGAAAATATTCTCAATACTTAGATCTAAAAAAAAAAAAAGACTTGTATCCAGAATATATAATTTCTTACAATTCTATAATAAAAGACAACTCAATTTAAAAAATGAGCAAAAGATTTAAGTAGACATTTCAAGATATATGAATGGCCAATAAGTACAGGAAAAGATGCCATTAGTCATCAGGAAATGCAAATGAAAACTCAAGTTAGGTATTACATGCCCACTACAAGGTTAAAATCAAAGACTGGTAATACCAGCTGTTGAGTCCGGAACAATTGATATTATAATTGCTGGAGGGAGTATAAATTGACACAAGCTTGAGAAACAGTCTGGCAGTTTCTTATAAAGTCATACATACCACACATTTCCACTCCTAGGTGTTTAAAGGGAAATGGAAATATGTGCCCACACAAAGACTTGTACACAGATGTTCATGGCAGTTTTATTCATGATAGCCAAAACCTAGAAAGCGTGGGATTTCTGTCAACAGAAGAGATAAGCTGGTAGAGCCATGCAATGCAAACCAGAGTGAAAAAAAAAGAACAAATTATTGATACACACAACAGAATTAGTTTCAAAGACATGTTGAATAAAAGAATCAGACACAAATGAATATATACATTATGATTCCATTTATATGAAAACCTAGGCAATGCAAATTATTCTGTCATGACATACATTGGAGCTCAGTGGTTGTCTAGGTTCTAAAGTGAGTGTGTAGGCAGCCAACAAACACAAGGGAATCTTTTGGGGTGATGGAAATATTCCATATCTTGACTGTGTTTGTAGCAGTGTATACGTTTATCAAAATTAATTGATCTGTACAATTAAGACAGATTTATTTTATTACTTGTAATTACATGCTTAAAACATCTAATTTTTTAAGTTAAGACTTTTTAAAAGTTTGTGTAATAGGTAGAAAACAAGTGTATTGGGGCGCCTGGGTGGCTCAGTTGGTTAAGTGACTGCCTTTGTCTCAGGTCATGATCCTGGAGTCCCAGGATCGAGTCCCGCATCGGGCTCCCTGCTCAGCAGTGAGTCTGCTTCTCCCTCTGACCCTCCCCTCTCTCATGCTCTCTCTATCTCATTCTCTCTCTCAAATAAATAAATAAAATCTTTAAAAAAAAAGAAAACAAGTGTATTTGTTCTGTAGGCACATTTCAGCTAATGCCTAATGACCAACTAAATTCATTAATTTGGTTAGCATATCAGATTTTGGGGGTGGTGTTCTAAAGGAAGTTTTAGGATATACCTGCTTTATTTCAATAATATCTAAACCTAAAACAAACCATTTGATGAAATTAGAACTCCCTATTGAGGAAAGCTCCCTATTGAGTTGAGGAGAGAAATGTCCTTATATAGTCTGCCATCTTGCTTTTGACTCATATTTTATGCCAATCGATGGGCATTAACTAAGTGATATATAAAGAATATGATTATGTTGTGCTACTCTCTTGCTTACAGCTTTTAGCTCCAGTTGCTCCTAAAAAATTAGAAAAAATAATTCATGCATTCATTATAATTTAAAAAACTATCACATAGAATTACCTAAGAGAAATACTTGTTATTCATGTATTCAACTATATGCTTATAATCTAGACTTTGCTATCTTGTCAACAAGTGGAAATGCCTGTTTATGATCCAAACTAATGTTTTGTTTCATTTTTATGGCAGTATGGAGATAAAACCACAATATGGAAATGAAACAAAATAAATAATTACTCTCCTCCAAGTAATTATGTGGTTTAGGTAAAATAACTGGCATTGATTATGTGCCCTCTGATTAAATCAAGTGAACTTAATCTGTACTAACTAAACTACTTCCTGAAAAAATGATAGATACTTTGGAGATATAATAGCATGCATAAATATTTCCAACCCTACAATTAGGAAGAGTAAAATACATTTTTCATGTGAATTTCCTTGAATCACAAGAATCAGTTTCAGGCAAGTATTGCTAACTCTCTTCTTAATCAACTATTCATTTACTCAGATTAGGCTCAAGTCTTTTTTCTGTGGAAGATCCAACCAAAACAGCTTATCTATCTTACTGAGAATTATTGTCTTGCACACATCCCAATTCAGGCTCACTAGAGATCTCCCCAACTCTCATCCCCCTAAATAGAGAAAAACAAGGAACCACTCCTTTCTCTGTGACATTCTCTTACTTGGAATATATATGGTAAACAAGGACCATACTAACCAAGAGACAAAGATAAGATGGAAAAGAAAGCAAATGACCAAGGAGATAAGTTGTTTTAAAATGCTGAACCTGAATCTGGCCAAAATCTACTTCAAAAATGATTAAGTGGTTTATAGAAGTAACAGTTTGTAAAGTGGGGGGAGCTGGATTTGTTGGTTGAATTCAGTTGAATCAAACACTTTAAACTGTTCATTTTTTACCACCTGCTCGGGATAGAGCAGTTCCAGTGTCTTAAACATTCGCTACCTTCTCTCTACGGTTTTGACACATGCCCAAAGATCAAAATACAGACCATGTATCATGATTTGACTTTCTGTACAGAATATAGCACTTTTTTAGAATTACTAGAAACTGAATACAAATATAAAAGGAAAGAGAAGATACTCAAAAAACTTATGTTAAGTCATAAAGATTAAGCCAGGAACCACTTAAAAGGGTACGCAACCTAAGTACGGAAATGTATAGCAAGGATTGTTAGAGCAGTTTCTTTCTTCTCACAGATGAAAGAAAAATGTGTATCCTGTTTTTTTCTACAAAAATAAAATTCTATCCTCATATTCTAAGTCAGGGGTATCTATTTTTCATCTAGAAATACTGTAGAAATACTGTAAAAATGAATTCTAATAGATTAAAAAATTGTATACAAATAAATAAGGAAATTATGAGTTCCTTAGAACAATCTATCATTCTTTAGCAAAACCAAAGTATTCAAAATAATCTTAAGATTTATAACAGATTTTTATATTAATAGGCTAAGTTTGAGGCTGAGAGGCAGAGATGTCACAATTTAAAAATTTAAAAATTGACCTTTTAACTCCAGTTCCAGAAAACATATCTGTGGTAACCCTATGACATACATCCTTATTATATTACAAAGAAAACGTTTATTCTAGAGGCATTTTTATCTCTAATCGATACTCCAGATCATAGGCTGATAGTGTAAACAATCTGAGTTTATATTTTAATTTAGAATCCATGGTGAATTAGGAGACTTTTCTTCTCCAGATTTGTCATCAAAACTATAAAATTTACAGCAATATTGGCTTATTTTTTTTCCCTGTGGGCCAGTGGTAAATCCTTACAACTGGATTGAGATAATAAAAACATCTACATACTTGAGGTTCTCACAAGATGTAATAAAGCCAAAGTGCAATCTTCCCCCATAACTTTGTTTTTTATCCAATCCAGCACTAATGTATGCAAGCATTTTTGGGAATGTATCTGCAATTATCCAAAGACTATACTCGGGAACTGCCAGGTACCACATGCAGATGCTTCGAGTAAAAGAGTTCATCCGCTTTCACCAAATTCCCAACCCTCTGAGGCAACGGCTTGAGGAATATTTCCAGCACGCATGGACATACACCAATGGCATTGACATGAACATGGTATGTATTCCTGTTTTCCACAATGGAAGTACCTCAGGCATTATAGCTACAGTCCAATGGGAAAACCAGTCTCACCAGCTTTGAACCCCTTGCTTTTGTTTTCCTCTCAGATGTTTATTTTCTCCCCTGGAGATAGTCTCTCATTCTCAATTCATGGCATTGCATGATGCTATATCTAGTTATATTGTGTGGCAAAGGCATTATAACATGATGCAAACTGATATAACTGTGTGTAGTAAATTCCCACTTCCAATTAGAGAGAATATTGCTAACATGGGATTTGGGCTTTCACCACATGTCCTAGCTGCCAGCACCCCAAAAAATAGTTGGACCCATGTGCATTAAGATTTGACAAGTAAACAACAACAACCACTATGATATCCCCAAACAGAAATCCAAAGTTAACATTCCTTAAAAAAAAAAAATAGAAAAATAGGACACTGAAGATTTGTAGGAGAGGTTAGGGAGCTTAAGCATGCTGTAAACATTCTATCATAGGAAGTTTCATGTTTCTGTTAAGGACAAATTTTTCTATATTTACAACAATTAGCTATGTGCCCTTTTACTGTACCTGGTTTAATGCATCTTTCCTTTCAAAGGGGATATGTGGAATTCTTCTTAACTTTTAAGCAAATTCAACATCAACAATCACTTTTAATAATTCTTCCCACCTCTATCAATTCTTTAAAAATCAACCTAATTAATAACATGACCATGATCTAAAGAGCACTTTTTATTATTAGGTGAATTGCACACATTCTTTTCACCTGTTTGGCTATAGAGACTGATTCTTAAAGATAAATTATGTGACACATCCAAATTCTGTGGCATATCACAGACCTATTAAGAAAGATTAAAAATATGATGCTCTCCCATCTATCAACTCCTCCACCAGGCAAAGGCCCTGTTTCTAAGCATTCTTCAGAACATAAAACTACTCACATTTAATGACATGAACAGCATAATACAATTTTTGCATAAGTGAGCCAATGCAATTTAGATTGACATTTTTATATTTGACCCATAATATTTTAATAAAAAAGCAAAGGTTCAAAATTAGAAGTCAAAGGACAGAAAGCATTGCAAATATTGCCCAATTTGAAAGCCATATAAGGATGTTTATCAAAGCTGTGTGTGATTTATTGGACTGAGAAGTAAGGACATGCCATTATAAAAATTTTAATTTGGAAAGCACATTTCATATAAAAGCATAACTGAATTCCATGTGTTATTTCTAATTATCCCAAAGTTATTGTGAAAATTCATTTGATAAATTGCTATCACTAAGATAACACTTTAATCTCATAAGAAAGCACCTACAAATGAATCATTATATGTATTTCCATCTGTATTATTGTTGAACAAAGATATCAGCATTCAGAAACTATTGGGGATTCTCTAATGCTGGGTTGGCTGAAGCAGTGTCAAGAATTTTTAATCAAAACACGTGTCACTCAATTTTGTTGTTCCATACTGCCAGATTATTTCAATAACATTAATCAACAATTATTTATTGTACATCCCCTCTCCATATAACTAGTTTTGTGACCATTTTTGTGATAAAGTCTATTTTTTGACAACTATTTACCTTTCATTGTTTGACTCTATTACCTATGAATATGGTTTATATACCACTTGCCTATTTACAATGTACTTATGAAAGATTTATCTCTTTCCTGTCTGCTTCACACCTTAATACATGGAATCACAACACCCACCGGTAAGAACAGGAGGTATTTATATCCAATTTAATTCTCGTGTAAATTGTGGAGAACACCCTTGTTATCTGTCAGGTTTAGAGCTTGTTAAGTGATTTCCAATGTTAGTTCTGATCTTTATTGCATGATGTAGCAGAGGAAATACAAAGCAAGGAACTGGGGAAGATAAACTGGAAGAGGCCAAGTACAGAACAGAAATCCTTAACTTTAACAACAACTTGACCTCTAGTAATATTTATGTACAGTCTCCCCCTCCCCACAAAAAGGCACTTATCTGCTCTTTCCTCCAATCTGGTAAAGGTTATGGGTATACGGTTTGCATTAGATAATTGTCATAAAGAAAATGTCATTCTCTTTCATCATCCTCTATTTTCATGATGTAGGTGCTTTTCTTTCCTCCCATCTGCATGCCTGTATTACATGATCCTGGAGTGTGTGAGCTCTAAACCATGTGCCACTGAGTCTTGCATGTGGTTTTGAGAGCTTGACTTTGCACGAACTTCTTGTTTGTACACAGTGTCTACATTTCTCATCTTGTGACTACAAAGTGAGTAAAAAATCAAAGTGCAAGATAACTGAAAACTCAGCAAATGGAAGATGCTTGTTTATTAAGCACAATGTATGAAACAAAGAGAAAAGTAACGGTACTCTTAGACTATTGAGAGATTTAAAAAAAAAAAAGAAGAAGAAATCAAAGTGGATTTTTTTACCTCCCAAACCACATTGTTATAATCCCCGTGTCTTTTTAATTTATTGTTAACTAAATAATAATTTAGTAATAATTTAAGGTGATTTAAATTTATTTGTTGTGATACATAAAAGTACATCAAACTGTTGTATTTTACATCAGCATTTCATATTATTTTGTTTAAGTATAACCTTAAATATAATTTCTCATGAAACATTTCAGGTCATTTTTCTTTTACTTTCAACCATATCAAAATTGGGTACAAGTTTTCCAATCACACTGTATTAATTGACTCAAAATTATTTTTCATAACCCCAAACATTTGATTCCTTGATAGATCTCAAAACATAGAAAAGAATCTACCTAAAATGTGCAATCATATTTCTTATTTCCTGGATCTTTTGCTTTTTTTGAAATAGCCATTGCCAGAATGGTCCAGAACCAAAAACATTCAGGGGACATTTATGGGCTCCCTTTCAATGGAATGAAATGGTTCAGAATACAAAAGGAAAAGGGTCAGGAGAATGAAGTTAGAGAAAGGAAAGTGTTCTTTTGTGTCTGATGTCAGGCTTAAGAATAGTGAAAATTGTCTAAAAAATATCTATAGGTCAATTCTGGTAAATTGTTCCCTTCTTCTCCTCCAAATTTGACTAGTTAGGGGAAGAGGAGATACTTTCTCAGATTAAGACTGAAGGTATCTCAAGAAATTTCCTCCAATCAAAGCTGTCTTCTGACCCAGTCTGAAACTTTCTGACATTTTCCAACATTGATTTTAGTTACAACATGGGCAAGAACTGAAAATCATCTTCCATGTCAGTGTAGAGGCAAGTTTCTTCATGTCACATACAAGAGCCTGGCTTGAATAAAGAATCCCAATAACTATGCTCTATACATCATTTCAGATGGAGAGAGATAAATCATTTATGACAGAAACTACTTCAGAATTTAAAAATATATCGACATGGAAGAAAAAATTTTATGAACACTAGTGAAGAATTTTATTTCTTACCTTAAAAATGTCCCACCAATAATGCCTAATAATATAAAACAAATTAGGAATAGGAATTCAGAAGACCTAAACATTAGCTCTTCAATTTGCCACTAATCTTGGACAAGTCACTTAACCTCTCTGCAATTTCATTACACTTGTCATTGTCAAATGTGTTTAAAGCACCAGAACTCAAATATGCTAAATGTATAGAACAATTATTATGGGAGTTTTTCCGCTTGAGGATGGAGACTCTAACCTATCTGCTGCCTGTTCTTTTGCTTTCTGAGCGGGCATCTAGTTTTCTTTGATGATGAATTGTTGATGGCAGAGAACAGAAGGGGATCATTTCCTGTAAAAACTAGAACAGGAATAGAGGATCATATGTGGGGAAGCACAAGGAAGAATTAAGGCAGGTAGTCCAGAAACAACTTTGTTTTATTTATTTTAGGAAGAAAAGGAAAACTGACACTTTTTTTTTATCCTGAGGCATTAGTGGAGAAAATTTTGAAAAGCAGACATAGAAAGGAATTGGAATAAGAACGTAGGAAGAGGGATGAATGTTTCAGCAGAGTAGATAGACAAGTTTTCCTTAAAGACAGGCAAGAATGAAAAGAGAAAGGGTAAAGGCACTGGCTTTGAGGAGTAAAGGAGAAAACTCAATGGACTAGCACTACATGGTCTAGTCTTCTTAGTTAAGCAGAGAGTAGATTAAGTCCTCAAAAGGGAGGAGGTATAAAATAAGAGAAGAGTTAAAGAGGGGGAGAATTTTTATAGATTTCAATCAAAAGTCAACCTCATAGGCTAAAAATGCTTAGAACTACAGTGGGATTCTCAGTGACAAAGCATTCATTTATAATGCCCCCAACAAACAAAGCCAATCAAAATGGAAATGAAATTAATAAATAATGGCATATTGTTTAATAGAAATTCTTACGCTTTGGAGTTGATGTGATGTCTAAGAAGCATCTTAGTGAAAATCTGATTTCCTTTCCTTCCAAGTCTCTTTTACAGCTCCTCTGCTACCCATCAGAGTACCCTTTGCTAACTCTACTGACCTTAACTACTAGCTACTACCTACCTACTACTACTACTACTTACTACTAGCTACTATCTACTTAAATACTAACTACTAACATTGATTATATCTGCATTCTCAATCTAACTCTATGCCAATGAAAATTTTGTTGTACCCAGTCTCTACACTTACCGAAATGACTTCATCTATGCCAGACCTTTATATTCAAATCTCCTCCACTCACAGACTGTTTTGATACACCATAGTGAAAGGCAATGATGAGTTCTTTCAGTCAGCAACTCATATAAAAACAATCATTATGACATTAAACCTCATTGGAAATGTAAAGCAAACTATGCAAAATAGCGTGGCTTGTCTGCACCATATTGTTTTTATCCCTCCTTAACTTTTCCTAATGATCCTTTATATAGTCAGGTTGATAAATAGAGTCAATGAAAAACCTTTGATTCGTTAGTCATAAAGCTTAATAAAATGATTAAAAATATGGTGCCCACATATTTGTTCCTCTAGTGTCAAGGATTCTGCTTCTAAGAATTCTTCAGAAAATAAAATCAGTTACATTGAAAG